TGAAAATTAAACTGATCCTCTCCAAGGTCATTTTCAAAATAGCAAAAGAAAAGTATAATCTCCTGTCCATACAAGCCAAAGCCGCGATGTCTTGCTGTCCAAAAACACCTGGTATCAAACAAAAATCATGGTTTTATGGAACGGGTATTACGTGATGGAATTTAACCTTCCACTAGTTTACAACCGGGCTTAAAGCATAATAGAGGATTTTGAAGGCATCAGGGAAGATACGTCCGTTATGAAACGGTGATGTCCGTTAAATCGCAAGTGTAACAACCAATACATTTTAAAATTATTAATTATAAAGTAACTTTTGTATTATTTTTTTAATCATTATTGTATTATGTATTACGCTCAATAGTTTAAAATTGATTGATATATATATAAATAACAACATTCATTTATTGTTTTTTCTTTTTTTCCGATAACAAGAGTGTCCTCGAGTTAGCTTTCACGTATTTCAAAACTAATTTATTTTTGAATGTGGTTAAAGAATACTCTCTAACGCACGACTTCGAGTATTCTAAAAATAAATTTTCAAAAGTGCTCACCGCAAAACTATAATTATGGACCCGACTTATAAATCAACGTTTGTTTACCAATACACTATTACCTTGTGATTTTATTTATTGTTTTTATTATTTAAGTTTTAAATATTTTTCTAACGACATACTCATCTATATTTACAAGCACAACCATAATGACAACCAAAAATGTAATTTAAAACCACCATAAGGATGGTGGATAGTTAATAGATTATACTAGTTGGATACACGCACTATGCTTGCAGTTAGACAATCGTTAAATACATAAAATCAACGATTCTTATGGTGTAACAACCGTTAAATACATAAAATCAACGATTCGTATGGTGTAATGTGGATAAAAATCTTATTTCTCGTAATTAACGCAAATCAAATTTATTTGTTGTGCGAAATCATTTGATATATATATATATATATATATATATATATATATATATATATATTAACAAAATAATCAATAATATTAGCATAAAAAGTTGTATTTGAATAATTGAAAGGTTGTTTCAAAACATTATTTCAATTATTTTATTTTAAAATATTGATTTTAGAACATAAAAAAGAATAAATAACAAATAATTAGTTTTATGTATGGAGATACATAATTAATTTTCAACAAAACTAATAATATATATATCTTATGATCTACTTAGTAAATTCAGAGTATATAGTATAAATAATTTTTTTTAAAAAGAAAACATTTAAGTCTGTATGAAATTTATTAAAGTCAATAAATTGATAAAAACTACTACAAAATTGGTTCTCATAAATTTTACTTTTTAATTTATGTTGAAAGAGATTCTTGAATTGCAAATTAAATTATAAATTAGTTCATCTCATTTTAAAAAATTAACTAATTGATTCTTTTGGTTTAAAAATAATTTTTTTTTAATCGGTGTTGACCACGAATAATTTTTTTTTATTTTAAAAAATGTCTTTTTTTCATATTTTTAGTTCTTAATTGATGATTAAAGAGATTTTTGAATTGCAAATTAAATTATAAATTTCATATTTTAAAAAAATGTCCGTTGTTAAAAAACGAGGATTCGTTTTTTTATTTATTCGTTCTTAAATAAAAAACTACAATAATATAAATATAAAATTTTTAAAAATATCGTAATATTTTTTTGTAAGACTATATCGGAGAAATATATCAATAATCAATATAAAAATTTGTATAAAAATTAACTAATGAATCTTTTTAAACTTTTTAAAAGTATGTACACACACACATACACACACACACAACAATCAATAATATTAGGTATAAAACATGTATTTGAATTATTAGGTGGTTATTTTAAAATATTATTTTATTTAAAATAAATTAAATTTAGAATATTAAAAACAATTAATAGAAAATAGTTGATATTTTATGTGTAGATGCATAATTAATTTTTAATAAAATCAATGATCTCGATACTTTTTTTGTATACATCATTACCATATTCTATACAAATTAAAAAATATGTTTAAAAAAACTTAAGTTGTAAGAAATATATTAAACTTAATAGAGTGCAAAAAAATATTTTAAAATTTTATTAAAAAAAAAAGATTATATCAAGAATAAGGTAAAGAAACATGTGAATTCTATTATTTATTAAAAATATATATTAAAAATTCATACATAGAGAAAGATAAATCATATTTATTAACAAATAAAGTTTCATAAAAATAAAAAATTTAATTTGATGAGAATTTTTATAATAAATGATAAATTTAAGAAATTAATTTTAATCAATAAAAAAAATTCTGATATATATGTTTGTTCTAAAATTTAAAAACATAAAAGGTCAAAAATATCTTTTAAAAATATGAGAAATAAAAAATATATTCTGAAAAAAATGTGAGACAAAAATGAACTAAGTTAAAAACATGAGATGTTAAAATATTTTTAAAAATGTAAGGATTTAAAAAATACATTTTGAAAACATAAGGAAGCAAAAAGAAATGAAGAGTAAAATTTGAAATTGAATGTCCAAAAAGCCATAAAAAATTACATAAATGTCATTGTATAAAATTACAAAGTTTTTCACGTAATGCGTAAGTTCAGATGCTATAAACGGCATTGACAAAGACAATGACAATGGCCTTTTTTTCTTTTTTCTTTTTTGGGCTACGGGAGACACGAGTGTTTAATGAACATCTTATTTTCTCACTCGAAGGGAAGTTGATTTGATTTGTCAAAATGCCCGAAAGGGCAGTCATAAATAGAAAGGCCCTAAGAGGTCAGGAAAGGCTGGGTCAACGAATGTTTGCCACGTGGATTCAAAGGTTCAATAGATGTAAAATGTACCTGCCCATGTCGCCATGTTATTTTAGATTTGTGGTACTTTCGATTAGTCGTTTCTGCCTAACTAAAATTTAAGGTTCTGCCCTCTGGCATGAGCCTATGATCTGCCTAACTAAAATTCAAAGATTTGTGATGCTTCAATCCATTTTTGGGTGCTCCAGAAGATTCGTAACGGTGATTAATCCATATATATATATATATATATATATATATATATATATATATATATATGAAAAATCCTATGATCTGCACATTATTAGTACTTATCAATCAATATGATCACGCCATTTACTTTTTTTTTAATATTGTTTTGTTATTCAAAATAAAGTCAAAATTTTTAATTATCATTTTAGATTTGAATTAAAAAAATAAAAAAAGTAAAAAAATAAATTTATGTTTAAATATACACTGATTCAAAAATAATTTCTGAGAACTAATTTAAATTAAGTTTTCTTTAAAATTTGATATCTTGGTTTCATATGGACAGAGAATAACTATAGCTATCTGCTCATTGTACAAACCAATTATTGATTAAAATTAAGAGGTGTGTTTTTCTTTTTTAAAACTTTCTGAGTTCAAATTTTAATACTGATATTTAACAAAATTTATGTTTATTAATGTACTAAATGGATATAAAATATGTGTCGCATTTGAAAATAAAACGTATTTTTGGTTGACATATAAATTAATTCACAAACATTTATTGACATCAAATAATAACTAAATAACCTTATATATATATATAAACAATACATTTTTAAAATCAATGATTATATTCAAATCACCGAGTAAGGGTAAATATTTAATATATCCAAATGTATTTAATGATATGTAAAATCATATCACATGGGAAGAATTGATAATGCAACTACATGATTTTCATAAATATGGTAGTTAGCTTTATATAGATATATAATTGTAATCTTTAATTTGAGGGATGCCTGCCTGCGTGCCTGCTATAATTTACTCTTTCTTGTAATACACCTAGAGCAGTACTTTTTAACTTCATTCGGAACTGCTCAAATTAAATTACAAGTTGAGTCATAAAATTGAAATATTATCTGGAGAAGAGAGAATCCCACCTAATAATGAAAGGGACATGGAAATACAGTAAAGTACAAGGATGTTTATGATATTTACAGAAGTTTCAAACAGAAAGAAGGTTACATTTGGGAGGGAGGGAGGGAGAGAGTACATTTCTCTTCTTTGGTAACTAATTAATTTGTTGGTGTTTCCTATGTAATTTCTGGGTGTTGCCATTTAATTTCTTGTTGTTTTCTTGCTTTACATTTGTAGTGTACTGTTGGCTATTTTAAATTAGGTTTAGCTGTTGTAGTTCCTTTCATTTGGTTGACAATTAATTTCTTGGTGTTTTCTATTAAATTCTTAGGTGGTGACGGCTTCGTCTTGAAAAAAAAAAAAATGAAGATTTTGGGTTCTAGCAAATTAGCCTTAAAAGCCTTTGGGTTTTTCCTGTGCTCTATTTGCTCTTGCATACTACTTTAAAACACCCACCACCCCTCCTTCTCTAAAAGCAGTGAATCAATGCTTTCTGCACTTTGTAATTGCAATATTTACTCATTTTCCCACTTTCTGCATGCTCCTTGGGATTTTTAATTTCATTTCCTGGCCTCAATTTACACTCTTCTTCTACCAATACTTCAATTCAATTCTCTCTCTCTCTCTCTCTCTCTCCACCCTCCACCTCTCCCCCATAATTAAGGTAAGTTTTTAAAATAACCTCACCTCTCTCCATTCACTTCCTTATATATAATGGCCTTAGATGTCCAAAACCACCCACCAATACCAACACCAACCCCAACCCCAAGTTCATGCTGATGGTGCTAGTGTTGATTCAAGCCTAGCCACTCTCCATCAAGCCAACCTACCCAACCTTCATCTCTTTCATAATACTACTAACCTCTCTTCTCCGCGTATTGAATTAGAAGAGCCCTCTCCTCTCCCCTCAGGTTGGCAAAAGTTCCTTAATTTTTACATGGCATGACTTAGTTTATGTGGTTTTCTACAAAACAAAAACTCTTTCTGTTGGGCTCTGTCAAAACTCAGTCCTGCTTTTTAATTAGTGTTTGTGTGTCGAATTAATCTCTCTGTTTGTGTTCTGTTTCAGATAGCGGAGATATACTACAAAAAAGAATACACCAAAGATGAGTCGAAGAAATGGTAACCTCCCAAAGCTTGACCTGAAGCTGAATCTATCACCACCAAGAGTGAACCCAAGAGTGGAGTCCCCTGGCCGATCAGCAACAGTGTCACCGACATCCCCACCGACCTCATGCGTGTCGTCAGAGATGAGCCAGGATGACACTCTTAGATACTCTACTAGCCCTGAGGCTACATCCATGGTGCTTGTGGGATGCCCAAGGTGCCTTATGTATGTGATGCTCTCTGACAATGACCCTAAATGCCCCAAATGCAAGAGTACGGTGCTGCTTGATTTCCTCCATGATAACACCACCCACAACACCATGAAGACAAGGAGGAGCTAGATTAGTGCTAGCTCCCCTTTGCTCCTCTTAATTAGGATTTATATAGGCTCTCCCTCTCTCTCTATCGTACTTGATCTTCTTTTTATCTCAGGTAGTGCTACTTGCGCTCCACTTTTTAGCTGCTTGATTACATGTTACAAGAGCTAGCTAGACGTGAAAAACAAAAAAAGTGGAGTGCCAGTAGCACTAATCTTTTTGTTTGAATCCCTTTTGGTCGTAGAACTTAGAATATGGGCTATATGGGCACAGAGTGGCGTCTCTGTTTCTCTGTGGGCTCAATCTTTAGCAGAGGAGAATATAAACTACTAGTTAGCAGCAGCTGCTGCCCAGATTTTCCTATGAAATGACCGGCTGTATTCTATCATTTCCTCTCTCTCTCTCTCTCTTTCTCTCTCTTTTTTTTTTTTTTTTCATATCTATTGTTTTTTGGGTTTTATATTAGTGCTTTGTATCCAAACACGCCAAGACACAGCAACAGCTCCTCGTCATTCAGTTCCCACTGAAATTTGTGGAAGTGCAAAATAAGTGAATTTACTTGGGACCCAAAACAGAGTTAAATCGGCCACAAGTATATTGCTTGAAAATACCTTTGAAAGATGACAGTGGGTATGACTCGGGTCCCACACAGCCATGAATATAATCTCACGCCATGCCTAAGCGATCTCTGTGTTGCAAAGAATTTAGAGCTACTTCAATCCATGGGGCCAAACCCCACAACTCGCTGATTCCAAAAGGCTATAAAAACAGAGTAGGTGCGTTTTAAGGTTTAAACATAATTAGGTCAATAGGTATTGACTTTATATAGATAAAATAAACTTGTAATATATTAATCAAGACTTTTGGATTAAACCGATCGATATCTAACATTGTATATAGAATTTCACAAAATGTAAGCTTAAATAACTCTTCCAAGTACAAATCTTTTCAAAATTAAGAATTCAAGTAACTGTGCTACGTAAAATCACAATCTCAAAACATATGTTTAAGACATATATTGGGAAGTACTAATCTATGAAATGGTAAATCTTTCATTCCTTAATTACACAATATTTGAGTTCCACTATATAAAGAAGCCTCTAACGGTCTTCTTAATTCCAATATTGCTTGAAAGTTGAAATTGCCAAAGACCAGATAAAATCAAAGATGCATCTTCACCTAAACATGCCATATTAGCATAGAAATCATACTAATATAAATCTCAGATGACAGTTTCACAATATATATGGTAAGTATAGGTCAAACTTCAAAGGCTTTTATTTAGGAGGAGAAGAGAAGGATCGTTAGGTAAATGAAGAGGGGGTTGGGTGGTTCGAGCATTGAAAAAAGGGGACTATATTCGATTGAAAGACCATTAAAAACACATAAATGCAAAAGTAATTGAGACAGTTGAGAATAATGAAGGGTATTACGTCAGATGATAAACACAAATTTAATTCCACCTTCATCCTTCCTTCTCCATTTTGCATTTTCTTTTTCTTTCGCTTTCCTTTTCATTACTAACTCTACTCATCACTCACTAAATGCCACCTTTCCAATGCCATTCTCTCGTTTTGGTAAATCCTCCACCTTGCGTCCATTTCTCCCCATTCGATTTTCTCTTTCCCTAGCTTCTTTCAAATCCTACTTCCTTTACTCAACATGCTCTTTAATTTCTCTCTCTCAAAAACACAGGGAATATGCAAAAGACAACATACATAATCCCATGTTAAATAAATGTTATAGAAAAAGGAATGGCAAGAGATTAGAAGTTCATATCCTGAACTTATATTCTATACTATACCATAAAAGCTTTATTGCGTGGTTGAAATAACCTTAAAAGAAAAATGAAAAAAGAAATATCAGAGTCAAAGAATTTAGCCAAAGTCATGCACACAATGGAATGATCCAAGGAACATAATATAGTCATGTCGTCATGCACACGCAGAAAGACACCAGAGAGGCCGCGATAAAAAATCAATGCAAGGGGTCCCAAGCACACCAACATGGGGCATGCATGGTTTAACACCACCCCTACGGCCCTACGGGCTTAATTAAACAGTTTATACTTTGTACAGGGATGGTTCTAGGGAGAAGAATAACGAATGAGTAATGATGGAAATAAGTCGCTAATCTAACATCAACAAATTTAGAAACAGCAAATTGCAGACCAAGCACTAAATACTTATTTGAATTATCATTCTAGTCACATCCCTATCTGTTCTTCTGAATTTCCTCTAGATCCAATCATCCCTCCTTGTGAACGAAACTCCACGTTGTGGGAACAAGTAATTGCTATTTCGTTAAAGTGTGCTTGACAAGTCACGTTTAATCCAAGAACACTCTGCTTTCTTTTTTACTCAAGGTGGAAGAATATACAAGGATATCACAATGGCTTAGCTATCAAAACGACACCGTTTTAAGTTTTTAATGGCGTGAAACCAGGCATTTCTCAAAAACTTTAAGTGATTTTTTGAAATTGTTTTCCATTTTAATCCTTAGAGTTAGAAAATTGAATGCAGTAGTTCTGAACTTTATTTATGTTAAATTTAGGTTTCTAAATGTATGGGAGGAGAGAGAGAATGGAGAGAAAGATCTCTATGAACTGTAATCCAAGCATGTTATTCGATAATATTATATATATTTATTTTATTTTTATGATGATTTTGATGTTTCAAGCGATTAGGAAAAAAAAAGATTTGAGTTCCAAAAAGAAAATTAAGCTTTTGAATTTGATTCAAGTGATTTTTTGAAACTTTTTTCCATTTTAATTCTTAGAATTTGAGAATTGTATGCAATAGTTCTAGACTTCATTTGTGTTAAATTTAGGCTCCTAAATGTAAGGAGGCGATACGAGAGAGAAATCTTCGATTAGCTGCAATCCACGCTATAAAAAAATAAACAAATAGCGACAGATTCAAAATCTGTTGCTAAATAACGAGGGATTAATGAATGATTGTTAAACATCGGATTTAACGACGAACTATCGACCACTTTGCAATGAATGGTCAACGATAAAGAGGTAAAACATTTGCGAGTTATTTCAACGACGGATTAGTGACGGATACTTCAATCTATCGTTAATTTTTATGTAATGGTTAGCGAGGGAATATTCCCTCACTAATTGATGAAGTTATTTGCCAATTAGCGATGGAACAAAACCCATCCTGATTTTTTTCATCAAAATTAGTGATAGATTAGGCCGATCGAGTCGTTATTTTTTTGTTAAAAATAGGTAGTCAATTGAAATTTGAAATCAACAACGAATACTTAAGTCCGTCGTTGATTAGTGATGGAGTCATTTCCTTCGCTAAAATTAAATCCCTAAATTCACAAATTATCATTTCTTTTCCATTTTTTTCTTCCTCCTTCCCACTCTTCCTTTCGTCACTTGCCATCCCCAGTCATCATCGCGACCTGCAACACCTCCTCAAAACACCTCACAAAGACCACTCCTCTACTCCCCATCAATCTCCGACCATTCCAACCAATTTTTTTTTCAAAAACGAGTTGTGGTATCTCCTCTTTCTTAGGTGTGCTCTGCATTAAACATGTCTCTCTCTTTCTTTAATAAAAGAGAAGTCCAATTAGGTATATTCTTTGTCTTATTTCATAATTCATATTTCATTTGTGTAGATTTTATGCATTACTCTTGATTTTACTATTTTTGGATGTTTGACACTTTATCCATTTGTATATATGTAATTAATTATTTGAAAATATTTTAAAAAATCAATTTAATTAAGTTTATTTTTAATTTGTTAGAATTGTTTTCAATTAATTAGGTTTGGGTGTTGATAAATTAGGATAAAACTTTGAATATGTAATTGGTTATACAATGATTAAATATATAGGTAGAGTCATTTGATATTTAAGTTATTTGATTTAAAATAACACATTAAGTTTAAAATTAAAGAATTAATTTAAAATTTACATAATATCTTGTTATTTGAACTTAAGATTTAAAACTTAATAAATTAATTTTTTATCAAATTTATTTGATATAGATAAATAATTAGTTGTTGTATGAACTATTATATATATATATATATGGAACAAGGGTGGTACCACGGTAATTTTATTGATATGAAAAAAATGAAATACATAGGGCGATAATCTAGCCTTACCCAACAAACTAGGGGGACAAAGAAACCTTACCCTTAATGACAAGAGGACACTCTACAATTAAACAATCCAATCCAATCTTATCTATTAATAATAAGGTAAATGAGAATAGTTGCTAAAAGTACTCTCCAACTCATCTTGAATCGCCTTATTGGCCAACAATCATGTTACGTTTTTTCTAAATATGCTTGAAAGTATGGGTACTCCTTAGTTCACGACATTTATGAAAGGGATACGTATAGGACTAAGGAACCTTATTAGTGCCTAAAATAGTATTAATAGTCACCATCGAATCGGATTCAATACTTACCGAGTCTAATTTCAATTCCTTACACAGGACTAACCAATCTCGAAGTTTTAACTCCTCGGCCTTAGAGTTGGTACCCTCCCTATAATAGTGCACAAAACCTACTGCAAAAGAGCTTAAAGAGTTATGGATTACTCCTCCTCCGAGCATAAAATCCATCTCTAGCTTATCCATCAACGTTTAATTTTAGTTTACCAAAGGGAGGAGGCTCTCACTTGATCCATTTCCTCCTCGGGAATTTTGGCTAAATTGGAGTAATGCCTAAGTCCGACATCTTCCTAACACAAATTACATTTAGAGGTTTTTTTGAAACAAATGAGCTACACATATCCCGTAGGCCTACGATAACTCTCCCGATAATATTATCTACTCTCATTGGTTTATCCTTATATTTTGCTTTACATCGACTTTTCCATAATTCCTATAAGACAAAACAAAAGGCACCAACCTAACACATACATGATTGAGTACCGAAAGAGGATATCCATGCTTGCGCATATTCTTCTAGTGAGTTCCACACGAGTGCCACACCTAAAATTTTTTCCAAAGTGTTCTCAAACCTACCTAACAACCCGAGATTCCATAAACAAAT